ACATAGCCACTCTATGATGACCTACTTAACCCACTTACTTGGTGCCCCATATAGACCATCCTTAGTTATAGAGTCAGAGAGATCTATAATACAGGAGAAAAAACCCTTCGGCCCATCACCTCCACATTGGTCAAAAACCACCACCTAACTGTTCTAATTCCATTTTCCAGCACCTGGCCTTGTATACCTTGGTATTGCAAAAGCACATCAAAATAGTTCTTCAGTGAGGTGCCTCGCTCACCCTTACAGGCAGTGAGTTCCAGATTCCCACCACCCTCTGGGTGGAAAAGGCTTTCCTCACATCTCCTGTAAATTTTCTGTCGCTTTCGTAAAATCTATGGCCGCTGATCAACTCCATGAAGGGGAAGAGTTTCCTCCTGCCCCTTCTTTGGTTCTCCCCTGCTCCCTATCCAACCTTTCTGAGTAAGATACACCAGCCGAAATCCTCTGGAGTAAGCAATGGAAAAATGTGGAAAATCACTGTTCACTGTGACAGACCTGCACACATCAAATAGCAGGCTTTGAGACTGGCCCTTCCTAAGCAGATTCGGTTAAGTAAATAAAGGTTAAATTATCACGGAAGCTGGAAATCTGAAACAAACACAAAGAATGCTGGAGAAACTCTGCAGGTCTGGCAGCATCTGTACAGAGTTTTGAGTCGAGTGACCCTTCATCAGAATTAGTAGCTAGGAAAGACCAAGGGATGGTGGGGAGAAAGGAGTAAGCAACAGATGGAGATGGAGCCCAGAGAAAGAGATATACAGATAGCCAAACAAAGTAATAGATAATGGTGAGCCAGGGAGAAAGAGAAGCTGATAATAAAGACCACAGGTTGGTGAAAATGGGTTGGTTGTGCTTATGACAGGGCCAGGTCTATGAGGTGGGTAAAGGACATGGGAGCAGGTGCTCAGGCCCTAAAATGATTAAACTTGATCAAACATAGAACAGTACAGCACAGGAACGTGCCCTTCAGCCCAAGATGTTATGCTGAACATGGCGCCAAATTAGACTAATCCCTCCCTCCTGCCCTTGGCCCATATCTCTCCATTCCTTGTATATTCATGTGCTTATCTATAAAAGTCACTTAAACGCCCCTGTCCTATCTGTCTCCACCACCACCCCTGGCAGCATGTTCCAGACTCCTACCACTCTCTGTGTAAAAAACTTGCCACACATATCTCCTTTGCACTTTACCCCTGTCACCTTGCTAATGAGTCCTGAGGGGCCCAGTCAATTCTTAATACAAATCTCTGATGTACTTGTGGAGAGACACAGACAATACTGCACATTACACACAGTCAGAGTAATCACCTTAATCTTGAGGCCATGATTGATACTAATTGTTGGCCCTTTCTCTCTGTGTGTGTGTGTGTGTGTGTGTGTGTGTGTGTGTGTG